GGGGGGGGGGGGTTCCACCAGGCATCAACACTGACTCATAAAGGAAAGCACACCACCCGTCTGTGAACCTGAGGTCGCCTGTATCACATAGCCTGCCAAGGATGACCTCGATACTCTTAATTCTCACTCCAACGGACACACAACTAAAATAGCAAAATAAGAGTAGCATGCAAGGAGTGCCCGTGTATAATTCATGTGCCCGATTCCGAGGAGGAAGTACATCTGATTCTTTCCATTATGGAGTCGCCCAGGCATATCAGACCTTATAAAGGTTGGTCTACTTCCTTAAAACTTAGCAATTCAAATAAATGCCCCCCGTTCCAGTCGGGAACATCTAGTAGGTCTCTGAGAGGCGACAGAACCTGCATTTAGTTGGGCTAGAAGGACTTGGAATTCTGTAACTCCTTATTATTAATCACTAGTGATTTATAGAAATCCACAACCATGTATTTTATTTCTGATCCTATTAAGACATTTTTAAGTGTGCACCAAAAAGCCAAAGAAAGAGAGACCAAGAAGCAGCAGAGGCTGTCCCATAAACAGAAAGGAACCAATGAGGGAGTGTTTAATATTCAAAAGAAGAAAAATAGAGTTAACTCTCTTGTTAATATGGGGGAAGGGGGGTGTTTTTTAGTTTCACGTCAATACACCTGGAATAAACAGCCCCAGATCGCGCTAAAACCCAACAAGAGCAGCACTAAGAATAGTTCCTGCACTTTGAACTAGGCCAGACTCTCGTTCAAAACTAAGAAGATGGGGGTGCGGCCCTGGCCACTCTCCGGAGATGCAGGGAAGCCGGGGAGAGAGCTGGGCCCAGGCCAAGGCCCTGGAAAGATGTGCACAGGAGTAGGAACGTGAGTGGCCAACCTTTGTCACAATGAATTAACACTTAAATCAAATTTCAAGTTCTCAGACTCTAGCTGCGATTCATTACATATACGTTGGCGGATGAGAGAAGAAGGCTTAGGACTAAGGGGGATGTCAACCTGAGATGGGTTTCAAAAAGAAGCACCTCAAACCAGCAATTTAAACGAAGCACAGGCCGCGCGGAAGCCCGCTGTCCCGAGGACTCTGTACACACAGTCTGTTCCCGGGAACAGCTGCCGAAAGACAAGTTTCCCGCAGGTGACCACAGTCACGCAGCCAACCTCCCCCTCTGTCGTTAACCCGCTTCCCCATCTTTTGAAAGGCCTCATGCAAGTTTGAATGGTTCTAATGGCTACACTTCTCTCCCAACTTTGAAATCCCAAAGTGGGAAGAGGGCAAAACCCAGGCTGAGGCCCAGGCAATGGGTAAAAGGGGGAAACTCCGGAAACACGACGGTCGCAAACCCAAATACAAAACAGTAAACCAACTGAAAGGCGGCACCAGCGTCCACTGAGTCATTCAAGCACCGTGTTGTGTGCTGTGTTCGTCTTTTCAGCATCCGGGAGGAGGGAACAGTGACCCGTCCTCAGCCTCCCGGTGACATGGGTGCTGAGAAACCAAGCACCCAGCCCAGCTTCCTACAAAGGGACTGACTGCTAGCTCCAGCCTTGGTCTGCTCACAATGGTGTAAAGACACCATTTAAAAAACTGAAAGCATCATTTCCAGAATTCCTCAAAATCCAAAAGAATGCAGCATAAACATCATGTACCGCCTTAAAACGGCCATCTGTAAGCTAACATTTACATATAAGTAGTCTGCCCCAGTCACCAACCTGAAACCACAAGTCACCTACCACGCTAAAGTCATCCGTGCTCGGGAATGGCAAGACCAGCATGTGCCAACCCAACAGTCCCACACAAGAGCTGCCAAACGAGACGCACATCCATGTGAAGTGCAAGGTCATTCTACTATTTGATATCAAAACTCAAGGCCGCGGTGACTCAGTGGTTGAGCACTGACCTATGAACCAGGAGGTCATGGTTTAATTTCCCGTCAGGGCACATGCCCGGGTTTCAGGCTAGATCCCTAGTAGGGAGTGTACAGGAGGCAGCTGATCAATGTTTCTCATTGATGTTTCTATCTCTCTCTCCCTCTCCCTTCCTCTCTGAAATCAATAAAAATGTATTTTTTTTAAAAAACAACAGCAACGCTGAAAAAGCGATTCCAAAGTAATCATTCAGGCTAAGCTGAAATAGAGCATCTGCTGGTCTCCCACGTCATTCAAAGCTCT